AAACAAAAGTTTACAAGTGGTATAAGAGTTTCGAAGATGGCCGTGAAGACGTTGAAGATGACGAATGCCCCGAACGCACATTAACAACCGATAAAAACATGGAAAAAGTGGAAGAAATGGTTATAAACCATCAAAGAAGTTGCTGATGATGTTGGTATGTCGATTGGCTCATCCCATTAAATTTTTTTGGATGTTTTGGGTATAAAACGCGTGGCAGCAAAATTTGTTCTAAAATTGTTCAATTTTGAACAAAATTTTTGGCCAAAAACAATACTGTAATGATATTCGCCAGACATGCCTCTGTCTGACTTTTTCCTATTCCCAAAAATAAAGAGAACCTTAAAGGGCCGTCGTTTTGCAAGCATAGATGACATTAAAAGCGCATCGCTGAAAGAACTAAAGGCTATCCCAAATATCGAGTTTTAGAAGTGTTTCGAGTATTGGAAGAAGAGCTGGCACATGTGCATAATATCCAATGGGGACTATTTTGAAGGCGAGAACATTAATGTAGACGAATAAATAAATATTTGTTTCAAAAAACGAAAATTCCCGATATCTTCTGAACACACCTCGTACGTAGAGTAATTCTGTTAAACGAAACACACCGCTGGCCATCCAGCCAAACATCCAGCCACCACAATGGGAATCCGGGACAAAGCTGTAACGCGCACAATAACTGGAAACTCTCACGCAAAGAGAGTTATTTTAATACAGTTGGGCTGATATAATGGCTGGTGTATTTTTCGACAAGATAGTGGACTGAAGGCATCAGGCGAGCATAATGGAGCCCGGTCGGGAGATTTGAATTCCCTGTGTCACGGATGACAGCTTGGCAGTGTTCGCCAGGCCTGGGGAGCACTGTAATTATTTGCAAAGACAACTATTACTCATTGTTCTGGCTCGCTTCTAGCGTTTGACGCTTTACCACTGCGTCCGAAAGAGATGCTCTTCTTTGCCTCTCCTTTTCTACAAGCAAAATTACAGAGAACTGGCGTAGTAATTTAACGAATTTGTAGCCGAATCTTAAGGTGTCACGGTTATAATTATTGTAGGTTACGCCAATGCCACACCACGACAAAGATAAATTATATGCTAAGCTGAGATACATTTATCGAGTTAATTTCAGTTTAATTGGTATACATTTACCAACAAAAGTAAGGAACAAATTCATTAAAAAATGTGCCTTTTTTCTCAAAAAAAAAAATCCTTGAACACGTCGTTTTTGCTTTTTAATTTCGCACTTTTTTATGCAAAATTTTCATATTTGTAGCCATTTTTGGAGAAGCTATGACGTGTTAGCTAAAAAATAGTAGTTTTTATAAAAAAAGTATAAGTTCACTCAATCAATATTTCTAAATAATTACACCGTGTTTTTTAAATGGGTTATTTTCAGGAAACACCCGTTTTCAGGAAAATGAAGATCAAAATTTTTTTTGCTTAAATTGACTTTTGGTTGAATTTTTATAAATTAGAGTTTTGTTTACTTACATTTAAGACAGGCAGTGCACTTTTTAATATTTTTTTACGTTTTTTTCAGAAAAATGTGTTTAGCTAGCTTTATATGTCTCCACTGTGTTACCAATTTGAAATCCAAAATTTAATTCAATAAAAAAAGTTGTTATAAAAATAATTTGAAATAAAATGTACTTACTTCACAAACTTTTGACTCCAATTTTATTTTTCATTAAAAATTGTATGCCTTTTTTAAATATTTATGTTAGTTAAGTTACTTTTTAAAAGACCATTCCGATTCTTTGTTAAAAAAACAATACCATTAATATTTTCTTTTAGTCACTGTATTAGTAAGTTAAACTCTAATTTTTTTAACAAAAACTAAAAAAAGTAACGAAATAGACTTTGGTATCACAACGGACTGGGGTACACAAAGGATTTAATCAGATAACGTAAAAAAGAAACTATATAGGGTGGTACGATTTTAGAGTAATGCATAAAAAAATCCCTTGTAGTGGTGCTCACTTGCAGAATAACAACTTAGATTTCTAAATTGTAGACACCCTTTTTCTTTGACTATAAGCTGGTGAAGGTCCCTTTTAGTACTTTTATATTGCGTGGAATTTTTCCTTGGATGTAATCTATATCATGAGTTGTAATTACAAATAACTTTAAATTGGTTAATCATAAACTACTTTTAATAAAAGCGACGGTAAATATCCACTTTGTTGTCGAAAAATTCTATTGCGTTACCCTAAATTCCATTGCGTTACCATAAGGTAACGTAATGGACTCGGTATCACAGTTGACAAAGTTTTGTGAAACCCTATTTAAAAAATAATAATAAAACATTACAGTCATCACTCTCAATGAGCTTTAGTCCCCTAAAATAAACATAAACATGAAAAATAGTATTTTTTCTTACCTTTTTTTTATTATTTTTTTGAGTAATTTAGCGGACAAACAATTATTACATTCGCGTTACCCGCACCTGTTTCAACCGATATCTTCTTCCTGATTGAATAAATTAATTCAGCTGGGTAATGTGTACGTCCGAACATCATTTGTTAATCACGTGAGTGCCAAAAAAGTTGCCATATATATGTTTTTTTAAATATTCTATCGGTAATGGAAAAAATGTCTGGGACATGAGTCAAATTTAAAAAAAGTAGATTAAAATTAATTAATTTATATATAAATTGTTTACTTTATTAACTAAGGATGTTATGGATTGCTATAAAGCAACACAAAGTTCTAGTTATTCAATATTTAAAAAAAAACATGTATGTAAGTTTTATAAAACGCTAATGGGACATGCGAAAATGTGTATTTCACAAGTTTCAAAATTTAAAAAAATATATTCTGAAATAACTAAACAAACATTTTCTGAAAGAGTTTACTAACGACTTGTTAGGCTTTCTCTTGGTTTTTAAATCAATAAGATCCGATAATTTTTAACAAAGTTATTGGAATTCAAACTTACAGACAGCGGAAGGCGGGTGTTTTTTGAAAACGACCCAAATGCTTCCTATGTCTCGGCTGTTTAATATGAACAGCTAATTTTTTTCATATATAAAGTTTACATACCAAAGACAAAATAAAACTTATAAAAAGGAGAAAAATATTGAAATAATATAAAGTCGCATTACTTCATCCATTATACACGGTGTGCCTGAACGAAGTTTAAGTCACATAAAAATGCCGCCAAAAACTGATTGCAGTTTCTTGTTCGGGACCCATTGGTGACCTAAAAATGATATTTACCAAAATCCTAGCTGCTCCTCTTTTCGATATTTTTTTAAAATTCATTTTTTAAAATTTTTGTTTATTTCAAAGTCTACCTTTGACAGAGTACACATTTGTACACCGATTTTTATAAAATTGGAGTATATAATTGAGGAGACTTAAAGAATACTTTTTAATACTGTTCACATCATTTGATATATACAGGGTGAGCCAAAAATCGCTTATTTTTAATAAAGCAAAAGCGTTAATTCATGATTTTGGCATAACGCGCAAAAAAGATTTATCCCAATTTTTTTTAGATATTTCCACGTTTATCAGGTTACAAAATGGCATTCTTATTAACCTTTTATAAAAAAATAGATTTTTAATAAAATTAAATAAAATAACGCTTAAAGAAAATTTAAAATGTTGTTTAGTTTTCTATTTTGAACGAAAAACTGGTTAAAGTTTAATTTAGTCCTTATCACAAAGTTTAAAAGCTTGTATAGCTCATTTTGCTTTTGTACAGATGCTTTAAAACCAGCAAAAATTTAACAAAATTTAAAAAAATCGCATATGTTATATGCATATAACCTACATAAATAGGCATATGCATGCATAAGCCGAACAGGCATTTAAACATTATAGTAAGGACTAAATATCCTGTAAGTTTCAAGTTTCTATCTTGAAGTCAGCACATTCTTGGAATAGAAAATTAAACAATAATCGTTTTTTAAATTTCGATATGTTTGCTCCTTTTAAAGCCCATGTAGAAGCAAAATGGATGAAAATATCAAAACAAGTTAAATGGTCATTTAAACTTCAAGGTAAGGACTAAATATCCTGTTAATTTCATATTTCTATATTGAAGTCAACATATTTATAAAATGGATAAAATAATGCGACTTTTTAATATTTCAATATTTTTCTTCTTTTAAAGCTACAGAATAAGCTTCAAAGATGAAAATAACAAAACCAAAGTATCAGGCATTTGAACATCAAGGTAGGGACTAATTATCTTGTACATTTCATAACTCTATTTGGAAGTCAACTTCCTCATATAATGGCCTAAATAATGGGATTTTCTAGAATTGCAAAATTTCAAGTATTTTTTTTTGGAAACCGAATGCCAAACGGGTCAATTGTAAGTTTTATTTTGTTTTTAGTATGTAAACTTAATATATGAACAAAATTAGCTGTGGGTGGATTTTGTCCTTTGGGACCCTAATGAATATTTATAATTAATTTTATGACATTTGACAACTGTCAACTAAATTAATACTAACTTCAGCCCGTGACTAAAAACCAGTTGCTAACTTCATCCCGTGACTAAAACGCCATAAAGCCACAACTTGTCAAAGTGTGTTTAAAAGGTCACTTAGTGTCATGGAAACATGTACGATAATGGGCGTTTTAAAGGTGGGGGTGAAAAAAAATAAATTAATAACTTAATTGTAATTATTTAAATAGTTTGTTGTTTGTTGAATTTTATTTGAAAATATTAATTATTTATTATCTGATAAACCTTTTGTAATGCGTTTTGTTTAATTACATTAATCAATTTTCAATTTTGTATTTAATTAAAATTTTCATCAAGCCATTGTCAATTTCAAAGAAAAAATTGGCTTTGTTAAAAGTTATATGCAAATGGGTTTTAAATTTTATAAATATTTGAATTATAACTAATACAAATAAAAGTTTTGGTTTTATTTGTGAAACAATTTAAAAAATATTTTTTAATTAAAATAATTATAGTGAGTATTAAAAATACTGTAAAAGCTAATATTAAAAGTAAAAAAATATAAAAATATTAAGGTACTGACCTTTATATCTTCAATTCTTGTAATTTTGTAATTTTTCTTGACACTTTCACATTAAATGACATTTTACAATTTTGGGATTTTTATTTTTATAGGTTTTTAGAATTAAATATGTCATTTAATAAAATATTGCATTTTTTACAGGGAAGTTTCTGATGTAGGTAAATAATATACAAAATTTGTTCATACATACGAGGGTAAATCAATGTGCCCGTGGCTTTTGGAATGAAATATAGTTTATTCGTTATATTTTTTAACAGTCTCCTTTATACGCTAAAGAAGCATCGCTAGTAGCGCCAACACGTGGCCGTTATCATTAAAGATGGGATATTTAGCTACTAAAAACTGAAAAATAGGTAACTAAAAAGGTACTAAAAAAAGAATTTAAGGTTAAAAAAACAGCATTTTAGGTAAAAAAAACATTAAACGTTCAAGTTTCGTTTATAATTTTGTTTAACCGCCTACCCAAACACAGAACATACCCACAATGTTGTGTTTCACTGAGTGACACTCACTACACAGAAGTTCTATGACAGAACATAAGCTCACTACAAAGAAGGTAAAAAAATAAAATAAGTAAAAATATGTAAAAATAGGTAACAAATAGGTGAAAATAAACTGACAAATTAAAAAATATGTAACAAAAGTATAAAAAGGTAGTTTAAAGCAAAAACCTCCAAAAATGGTAAAAAAGGTGAAAACAAGTTAAAAAATAGGTAACAAAAGTATAAAAAAGGTTGTTTAAAGCAAAATCCTCAAAAAAAGGTAAAAAAGGTGAAAACAACTTAGGTTAATATAAAAGAAAATCTTTTAAAACACATTTTGGCATTATTGGTTTTTAAATAGTTACATCGGTTGAAAAAAGGCAAAATAACTAAAATCCCATCCCTAGTTATCATCGTGTGTCGTGTATAGAGTGTTTTTAAGAATAAGGCCAATATAAATATATATAAATATAAATATAAATTGTACCTATTATATACAATAAATACACATTAAAGTAATGATTTACGTAAAAATTGTAAACATTTTAATTAAGTAAAAATCATAAAACAAATGTCGTCTAAACCTAAACAAAAAATCATAATATATTATTTATTATATGGGTGATTCTACAAAAGTTGGACAACTCGATGTCACAAGTCAATAGAGTAGGTATTTTAATATTTTTTGTAAATATTTTAGTATATTACAAGAGATCCAGGTTTTTCTTAACTTCTCCACCCAATTTTAATGTATTTTTTCAAAAGCACGTTTGTAGAAAAACATAATAAATATTCAAAACATGAATCCTGAATCAAATATTTGAGTGAATTTATTTTAAAATATATTCAATTTATCTTAAATTTTTCAATTTCACTATTTCACAATATTTTATCATAGATTCGAATATTAGCAATTGATAATTTTTGTACTCACTTTTAAGTTAAAAAATTACCTATAGAGCCCGCCCTTTGCACGACAGTCATCTTGAAAACAATGCAAGCGGAGAAGTTGTGGTGAATGCACGAATAGTTCCAGTCAAAATTTCAGTACTGTGGTGAGTAGTTATTTTCTTACGTATATATATTTCGTTGTAATTTATATAAGGCTATATGTGATTTGTTGATAAGTAGCATCCACTAATAAAAAATATCAGTAAAATACTTAATTCCGAATTATAATCTCAAATTTGTATTCCATTCATCAGTACCGTGTCGTCAGTTCCATATTCGATGTTTCGTTTATCTTTTTTTCGCAAACTTTTATTTAAATTCTGCTTGCGCAGAACTTTTTTATTTAATGTCATTATAAACTCATATAAATTTGGTGTGGGTCCCATACCAAATAATTGAGATATCGGTTTACCCAAAATCCACCAGCCGCCACTGATGTGTGGTATTATTTGATTTTAAGATATTTAATGTATAATATGCTCAAAATTGCAATAAATCTTATATTTTCCAATAAATTAGGTATTTAATTAGTACCCTGGTATACTCGTTACTTCCATTGCATTCAAATTTAGAAAACACAGATATTTCAGAAACTGTTTGAAAAAGTGACTGGCCCGGTCTGGAACAGTATATTTATTATATTATCTGTGTTCTCATAACAAAATACTGTTTAATTTTCTCCGAAAACTAAACTAAACAAAATGAGGTCAAAAGTTGCCCAACTTTTGTAGAATCACCCATATAATAAATAATAAATCGAAATCGAGTACTAAACCAAAGTTGTTCAGTTTTTACTTGCAATGCGAAACACCAATAACTTGCTCGATTTAGCTGTGCAATTGAAACTTTGAGAACAAAATTTGTCGAGTAAGACTTCTCTCCCTATCTCTTGTAAAAAAACTACTTATACTCGTATATTTAAAAATTTTGTGCAGTTCGTATTCTTTAAATGCATTGTTGACAAACCTTGTAGTTCAATAATGCTATCGACCGCCACCAGATGGCGCTCGCATTTAGAACAATGATTTGGGGTCAAATCTCCTTCCGCCATATTTCTAGATTTGAAAAAATGAAATAATCAATAGGGGCTGAATCTGGTAATTATGGCGAACAAGGGAGCAATGCGGATTGCAGATTGCATTTAAACAACGCCAAACACACACCAACAACCAGGGGCGGCCCTAAATTTCTACGTTACTTGTAGAAATTTTAATGATTTTTTTATTACAAAAAAATGACACTAATGCAAAAATTATAGATTATTTTGGGGTGTACTATGCTCCACACCTCAAAGTCCCACCACGTGACCACGTATGGAATGGAAAATTTGGCATTTAAGGCTTTTCAGGTTATGTATCTGTCAAAGTATAGGCAACGAAAGAAATAATATTATGTTTAGGCGTTAAAAATGTATAAATATTTATAACATTAGAATAACAATGGATGGTTTAAGAATTTAAGAATATAAATACTGCATTTAATGAAATTCTAAAGTGTATGGTGCCAAATAAGTAATATTTTTGTGCATTTGGTCCAAATATCTGGTTTTATAAAATAATTTTAACTAAACAGCATGCATTTATTTAAAAAAATCTAGCTTCTCTATTATGGAATAAGAATATCTGTATTAAAGGTAGGTTAATATATTATAACAAAAATATCATCTAATTTTGTAATTTTAAGGTTAGAAAAATTTATTTTGACCAAAATAAATAAGTATTTTGGATTATTTAAAAGAATGTTTAATATGGTATTTAAAAATGTGGTAGTTTTTCTTATCCAGCTTAAAGTGTACCTACATAAAGTTTTCTCAATACAAATAGTTAAAAAGCTTCGACTGAATTTGATCAACATCAAAAAATCATTCCAATTTTAATAAATCACATGTCATGGGAGTATTAAATATTTTCACATTGCAAGTTTCTCTAAAAATTGTTTGTTTTCTTATAATCTAACTTAAAGTAAGTATGCCGAGAGGTATGCACAAGTTTTGTCGTTAGAAGTATAAAAGCTTCAATTTAATTTGAACTATATTCAACAATTATTTAGTATACCTATATTTATTTATGACCATATTAACACACTCTTCCAAATAATTCACTTATTTATTTTGGTCAAAATAGATTTTTCTAACCTTAAAATACAAAATTAGATGATATTTTTTGTTCTAATACATTAACCTTTGATACAGATATTCTTATTTCAAAATAGAGAAGTTATAAAGTATTTATGTTCCTAAATTCTTAAACCAACCTTTGTTATTACTATAAAGATTTATTAACTTTTAACGCTTAAACATAAGCGGTAACACTATAAATATTATTTCTTTTATTGACTATACTGCGTTCCGTACGTGGTCACGTGGTGGGACTTTGAGGTGTGGAGCATAGTACCCTTAAAGGATGACAATTTATTTGGTGACACCTCGTATAAAATAAATACAAAGAAACCTACGTGATGCAAGTCGTTTTTTAAGGCTCGTCCTGAATTGATTCGTCCATGCATCCACAAGACAATAATTCTTTGTCTGGTCTAATTTATTTAAAGAAACCTTCGCGCATCACCTATTTATAGGATTGACAGGATGCGGAGACATATATGTCTATAGACTGCGAAGCAAGCAAAGTTGAGTTGTGGTGTGCCGGGCCGCAGTTAGGTCCTCCTGCAATACCTGACCTCTTGAATATTTCACGACCGCTATCTTGTGTCCACGTCTAAAAATTCCATTATTGCACCCGGTGGAGCAGCGCTGGGCTACCCCTCCTCAAAACATTTTAACTCCACTTCTCTTTCGACCGATACGAATATGTATTAAATTTCATTTATAAATGAAATCGTTGTATTTACATTTTCCACACGTTTTCTCATCATGCCTTTTGTTCTCAGACATTTTCTACATTTTTAACATTTGTTTTATGGACTTGAGCTGAAATGAAACATTCACGGGCATAAAATGCGCTCCTTTTCTTTATTTATGAGAATGAGAGGAGTTAAAAGGTTTTGCGCCTGTTTTTAATTTTTATATGCTTCTAAAGTTTAAAGCACTTTAATTTTAACAAAATACCACATTATTTCAGGGAAATAATTTTTACATACGGGCGCTTTCGTCAAATTAAAAGAAACTTTAGCCCGTGACTAAAACGCCATAAAGCTACAACTTGTCAATGTGTATTTAAAAGGTCACTTAGTGAAATGGAAACATGTACGATAATGGGCCTTTTAAAGGGGGGAGTGGGGAAGTGTTTTAAAATAATAATAGTAGGTAGGTATTTTTTTAATAATTTGTTTAAATATATTATAATAGGTTTAATTCAAAATTTACTTCATTGCTAATCGGATCGTACAAATGTATGCAATATTATGTTAATAATGTTTTTACCCCTACACTAAAAAATTTACACGGGCAAATTTTTTTACTGTGTATTAGCGATTTTTTTAAACAAACAAAAGGACCCTATACTAAATTTTATTAAAAAAATAAAAAAAAATGTACAATAATAACTACAAAAATTTATTTTGTCAAGTTATCCATGTTACACATGGTACTATTACTATAACTACTGACCCTGGGGGATTATTTAAATAGTAATTTTAAATGGATTTA